GAAAAACTGTTCGGTACAATGTTATTTCGGTACAAACCCGTTCGGTTTTCACCTGGACAATTTGGTTTCCCGCACGGTTGTCTAGTTGTCCGTCTTTGTCGAAGTTCGAAAATTGGAAAATAAATTTTCCTATATGACAAACATAAAAGTATCTCACTTTTCAATGCCTATATTGAGAACATTTTTCCTACAATGAACGCATTATAGTGAGATAATAGAAGCAAACTGTTACCCGAAAATGTCAAAGCTGAGCTGACGATTCGCAGCAATTTAAAGAATTGCTTTTAAAGACTTCTGTAACTGTTTATTAAAAAATAAAAATAATCTTGAAGCTGCGAGAGAAGTAACAAAAAATATATGTTTTAAACATTGGCAACAAAATAAATTATTTTTTAACGCGTTATAAATATATATATATTTTTTTATTTAAATGTCTCATATTTATATTAATTTATTATTAGACATTTTATATATATTAATTATATTTAAATGTATTATACTATTATCTAATTATTATTCAAATGTATAAAATAATAAACGAAATACAAAATTCTTCTCTTTTAGTACCATTGTTATTATTGTTACCTTGAGATCTTCCTTCTTAGTCTACTGTCGCCGTCATTATTTACAAAAAGTGGGGCTGCATTCTGGTCCGACGTGATAAATACATTTGCCAGACTTCAAGCGGCAGTAACCCCGAGAATGAAGCTGTAAAAGTCACAGGCTTGGGGAATTAGTCCACCGGCATCCTTCGTCGTCCACGGGAAAATGTACGACTCGCAATATGGGCAGGTTCCGTGACGCGATCTCGATGGCATCCCGAATCGCCATTCCGCTACTAGCCGTCAGTCACCCTCTTCTAACCGTTTCTAACCGACTAAAGCGAGATTACGTTACCGGTGGTGTAACGCTTGCTTTCTGAGAAGATCTGTGCGCGCAAATCTCTCGTGCCGTAATTCGCAGCCCGGCCCTTTAACACGGGTATTTGCAAGCATCGCGCACTAATCCCTTTGCCTTCGCAGTCAAATAAGCTGTTACGAAATTATAGTTAACATTGCAAGCGAAAACGAGCGAGTCGGCAGTGCGAGTGTCGCTCGCGTAGTCGCGATGACGACGGATAAACAATTTTATGTTTCGTCGTTGACGTGTAACAACACCAGACCTTCCGCCTACGGACTGCGATCTCGTTGTGTTTATTTGTGACGAATTAAAGAAATTTTGTTTATATATAGTTAATTACAAATTACAAATTAAAATTAAGTTAGAAATTGGTAACAACTTTTATAAGAAAAAAAATTACAAACCGATCGTTTGGTAGGTTTGGTGTTAAGGTATTAAATGACATCACTTTGATTCTCTATCAATGGTTACTTATCGGCGTTATCTTAATGTTATCTTGACTTTTGTGACTTTTTGTCCAAGAAAGAAGTTAAATAGCGTCAGTATTGTCAAACAAGTTTCTATTAATCCGTAAGCCGTCTAAGTGGGCGCGAACTATCCTTAAGAGTAACCTTCAGAGTGGCATCGAAATTTCGACTCGCGCGTAATCCCGATATTTATCTAGAACCAGCATCAGAAACGACCTCGTCGTCTCGTCGCTCACCGTACCGCGATTTCGAGACAGTCTGAGGACACACCTCGTAGCCCGGGATACCTCTCATTTAAGCCATTAATCACCGAGCGTCTCCAGGAATCCTGACGAATCGTCCTCAACGGCATCCCTCGTCCCGCGCATTTCGCTGTTGCGAAGCGAAACGAACGGGCACCGACGGTACAATAAACGTATCGAGGATACGTTCTCGAGAGCCACCGTGAACGTTGAAAGGAACGACGCTCGACATTGCGCGACGAGACGACGGTCTTCACGACGAGGCGCGAGAAGCTTCCTCTCCGCTTGAAACGGCGAGACAAATCGACTGTCGACGCTATGAATTTGCTCGGAGGAACTTACAGGGTTATAAGTGGACTCTCGAGCTTTCTAGGATTCGCCTGCAGCTAGAAAGGCGGACGGAAGAGCCTAGGAGAGAGAAAATAGAGCGACGAAGAGAGAGAGAGAGAGGGGGGGTTGGCGAGGGAGGACAAGCAGTCTTCGATTACCGACAAACGCCGCCCTCGTGTTTCGCTTTATTAAGCTCCCCTTTTCACCAATTAATACGGAAGAAATGGCACGGAAGAGCGTCTCTCTACGAGCGGCGCTCGCTAAAGGGGAACCGGTGACGTTCGCAGCGAGAACTCGTGCAGGCGAGAACGCCGGTGAGAGGAAAGGCGTTCTACCTCGCAACGCAACGAGCAACGCGCGCGAGATACGGAGAATTGGGATGCGAAAAATCCGCAGGATCAGCGGCGTCGCTATTGGGATTCACGAGGATGAACGTGCGCATCTCTCGATAGGACCAATTCCAAGCGAGACGCGAGTGCGAGATGCGCTGCTTCCGCGTTGCTCGCCGTGCGGGAATAGGAAGGAGACGCACGGTCGGGAGAATCAGAGGGGCGCTTGTGTGCGGAGACGGCGAGGTTGAAAACAACGGCAATTCCGCGGGAGACGTGCGATATTCCGTGCGTTTTGGAATCGGAATATATTTCTTATCATATTATCTACTATCGCTGACAGATGAAGTCAAACTACAGCAAACTACACCTACTTATTTCTTGCTATTAGAAGCTTCTAATAAGTTGGACACCGACTCGTTATTTGTTGTTAGCTTAGAAAAATTAGCCTGGCGTCATTTTACCTTCTTCTCTCCTACCGTGACATTTCTCACGTCTCGGTTTCACAAAAATTACATACACACTCGCGAATTCGAGCTTACGAGCGTTAACTCGCTCGGATGCTCGGGCCGATTAATTAAGACCTTATTTCGCTCCGTTTACGTTTTATATCGCTGATATATTCTCTCTGACCTACCCTTACGAAAGAGAGCTACGACAGAACCTACTCTTACAACAGAGAGACAGAGAGAGGGGGAGGGGAAAGAGAGGCTTTTAATTAAGACCAACGCATAACGATTTCATTTATGTAACAATTTCCGATAAGGCCGGAAAAGACGGGGACTAATTGCAGCGGCAATAACTCGCGAGCGTCGTCGCAAAAATGAGACGTCTTTTACGATCGCGCTATCGGCCGCGATACAGCCGGTACAATGGCGGGCAGACAATTACGAATTCCACCGTGGACACGCAATAGAGAAACGAAAGTTCCACCTTGTGCAACTTACTTCTCGTAGCAACTATCGTTGCGTTCCATTTCACCAGCACCAAGGCGTGTTCCCCCGTCCGGATAATAATGTTTGCCGCGGCCGTTTCGTGACCGGAGCGAATTTCGCGACTTACGTGGCGGGGCATCCATCGATGGTATGGATTCGCGCGATAAATCGCGCGGGGGGAGGGGTGAAGAAGAAACGGTCGCATGCAGCAACGTCCCGATTGTATTTGCGCGAGAGTTTATCCTCGGACTCAGGCGAGGTCATTCGGGAAAGAAAGGAAGAAAAGGCGAGAAACGCGCTCCGGCTTTCGCCCTTAACTGAGTCCGCGTTATTTTTCACCTTCGCTCGATAACGGCGAATACTCGCGACGTAGAACGTTACTCAACGACTCGCCTGATTGACAGCTCAGCGAAAACGACGAGGAAAGAGCGGAACATCCCGACGAGCGATCACTACGATCAATCTGGCGAAGTTCTAACGTCGTCTCTCTTGCGTTGACTCGAGATCTTCGAGTGCTGAATTCAAAATCGATATCGTCACACCAGCATTGTCGCCGGGTTAGGATAGGGTTATTTTCTTTCTAACAGTTGATAGTGCACTTTTGATTGAAACACAGCTGATGTGTCTCTATGTAAGCCTGGTTTTTTATTTTCTCGTTAATTTGTACCTAACCCGATAATAATAAAAAATATATTTTTCTATCTAAGGTTAATCGTTAAATTTTAAAAGTTACCACTACGAAACCATCAGTTTAATGATTAATCGTGAATATAAAAACACAATTTTTGTAGCATCATATTGTATCATCAACATTAGTTTAAATATAAATCACATGTTAATCAAAGATTTAAAAACCGGACCTATATTATACACGTGAAAACTTGGTTTACCGAATTGTAAAGATTATAATTTTTAATCAAGGTAAGTGAAACCATTTTTGACGATAGAAAGTGATTATTTTTTTTACTATAATATTTGTGACATTTCTTTTGATGATTGCATTCATAAAGCTTGGTTTAAAATGTGCTCTTTGCGTTTTGTTTTTTGTTATTTATATTTTTTCCATAAGAAAATAAAAGTTCTTACAGAAAAAAGATAGCAAGAAACAAGATGCAAAAAGCATATTGTAGACCAAGTGTAAGAGAGAATCTTATTTAACATATTCTAATATGTACGAGCAGTTCTTAAATTTTTACAATATAATTGTACTTGATCTTAATATAATTGTACTTTAATCTTAATATTTAATTTAAAAATTTTGGCAACCGTTCTATTGTAAATAAGTCAGTCAGGGAGAGTTGGGGCGTCTTAACTTTCGCTTTAGATGTTTTTACGCTTCTATAAATTTTTAATTTATTATATAAATCTTAATACTACTATCATTTTTCCAAAAAACATTTGTTATCAACGTCTTTATCAACAGTTTTAACAAATAGTTTTTATTTATTACTTATTTTATTGTGCTAATTAAATTACCTCCGAACTGAAAGCTCGTTGCTGCTAATGATAACAAGGAAATGAAAAAAATAATCTTTTCTACAATTTCTTTTTGAATATTTAATTTTATTGTTTGCTTAAAAAAATCAATTGATTCATGTTGTATGTAAAATTTTTGCAGAAGAATTTTTCTTGAATTTAAACAAGACTCATTTTTTTAATTTGCTTTTATTTATTCTTTGTTTAGAAGACATTTATATGTGCATATATATACACATATGTATATACATATATATATACACACATATATGCATACAATATATATATATGTGTGTGTGTGTGTGTGTGTGTGTATAAGAATCGAATCAAATGCCAGGTACGATGCTCTTGATCCAGGGGACGAATGAATAAACATTGGTCTTCACATCTGGGTAACCACGGGCACACGGCAGTCCACCAGAGACTAAGCCGACGATCGCACCATCAGATTTCCGAACAACACCACTACCGCTGTCGCCCTGTAATAAAAAAATAAAAACGCTTATGTTGATTTTGATACTTTTAACTTGTGTTCGTAGTTACAAGACAAATAGTAAACGTTTTTATTACATCATTAACTATACTCTAGACGCATACCATTACAAATCTAATTAATTACGTACGTTACACGTTCCAATTCCTTGGCTGATGAGAGTACAAAACTCTTTTGAGTGAATTTTCAGTCCGGTTGTACTATGATAATTTTGACACATTGACGGTAGCATGCATTTTGCCTCAATTTTCCTCAAATCATTGTGCACAGCTTGTCTGTATCCCATACCCCCCCAAGCTACAACCGATACGACATCATTTGAAGAAATGTCTCTCGTCGGAAGCTTAATTGGCTGTTGGTTCTGGTTGAATTGTATGGGTGTAGCCAGCTGAAAATAATTTCGTGTAAATTAGTTCGAATATATTTAATGACTTAATATACTAATATAATATAATGTTTACTGATGGTCAGAAAAAATACTTTATCGCAAACGTACGTGATACATGTAGTCGAATATTTTTATTTATTTCATTTAAACACATATGTATAACACCAGGATATGCTAATGTAACATGTGGCTGTCATTTAAAATTGGTCTAAATGTTATAATTCGTTATACCTTGATCAGACCGATGTCGTAACCTGATGCTCTGCCCTGGGCATATCTATCGTACTGAGGATGGATATATACGCTTGCTATTTGATGACGTTGTCCACCCGAATTAAGATAGGTCGTGCCACTAAGGATGGACCACGAAGAATCGATAGACGTCAAGCAATGAGCAGCAGTCACACAAAATTGCGATTGGATTAAAGAACAACCGCACATGTGACTGCCATAACGTTGCAAAGAAACACAATGCGGATTCTGCTGTATGCTAGTGGGCGTTCCATTTACTAATTGTTCTGGTTCTTCTCCATAAGTCCCTGCGATATGAAATGAGAGAACTTTTAATACTCTCGAAACAATTTGACGAACATTCACACACGTTTACATCGCAACAATTGTAATGCGCGAAAGATCTAATTGCTCGTTAAAAATTATCATCTGCTATAAATTGTGCAATCGTACTTTAATGTACTTTGTACAGTTATGATTTACATGTTACATCATTCTTTGGCGTATATAATATAGGAAATACGGATATTTTCGTGATATACGGACGCGCTAATCTTAAAAAAGAATCTGAAGCGACAACTATATGCTTTTGAGTACAGACCATGTTAAATGTATGTTACAAATGTGTTTTTGATATCTGCAAACCATGTATAAAGCTAATTTCGTTACAACGTTAAATTACATCTGTTTTTACAGCATAAAAACAATATAAATACAGAAAAATTAAGAACGGCATGATTTTATTTTAAAGGCTGTTTTGTAAGAAACAACTACTGTTATATTTTATATATATCTCATATATAAGAATTATATATAAGAAGAAAGTTATATATAAGAAAAAACGCTGTGCATATTAGAGCACTTGAACTACTTCATGTGGTCTCCTTGTTAGTAATTCTCAGTATTAAATTTTTACAAGGGCTTTGAAAACTATTTGATATTTTACTAATTAGTCGTTATATTGTTTTTCACTTATCTCACAACAGCATGTAATATGTGGACTAAATTAACTTACCAACGACCGCGAATGCAATCAGGATACACGCGAGCCGCATCATTGTAAAGCAGTTGCTGTTCTCTCACTGTTCTCGGTGGATTTCAACCAATACAGTAACAAGCAACACGAATGGTACAATTTATATACATCTCGAAATATGTACACAGCTGCGACTAATATGCAGCTGTTCATTTTGACCTTTGTATCGATCGTTATCAATTTTAACTTCTGACGTTGTTAATATATCAATATTAACTTCTGACGACAGTCGCAGTCAGGTAAACATTGCGAAACAAGAAGAAGTAAAGAAGACATCAAAGTGGAATTTATCTTTTAATTTAATTAACATTCGAGAAATATTGCGAAGATATTGTAATATTGGAGATTTTTGCAGAAATTTAATATGGATAAATTAGTGATTAATTACTTATTTTGAATATTAAAGGTACCGCTGTTAGTAATTCAACTACAGATATCGTAGTAATTACAAATATTTCTGTGTTTAACATTATAACAATTAAATATTCTTACAAAAAAATATAAAAATAAAATAAATATAAAAATATTACTGGTTGATCGGTAATAAATTACTGTTGCATAATATTTCCGTTATTAATGACCAATCATTTTAAATACTTAAATTATAATATTACTAAAACTCCAAATTAATTTAGCAATGTTTCATATCAGTAATTATTACCTACTGACAGTAATTAATATTGGAATTTATGACTCCATATTTCTTCTATATCGTATAGAGTATATCGTTTTTTGTACATTATCAGAATATATTGTGAACTTGTGCGATGTTCCATTTATTCATCGAATATTATAAATGTATTCTGAAAGTAACACGCACATTGTGCAAAAATAATTTAAAATTTTCAATAACTAGAAAAATAAGCATGAATTTCTTTATGATGAATAAACGCATTAATATGAATTATTTTATAATTTTTCAAGGTAACTTATCGTTTGTTCTATTCTAAATTCACTAATCTGTAGTTAAAAATTTCAAAGCGATCATAACTTATCAATTATATTATATTACGAGGATAGTTATTGTCTTTCCCTTTTCCAAATAGTCGATCGTAATGATTCCTTAAGAATTCCAAGGGCCATCTTCCCAATCGACAAAGCGATCTACGCTTTCTTCGTCATACTTTCGCCAGTTGACCATTCCCTATAAGCGCGTAATATTTCTAGAATATTATATGAATATTATTTAATATCAAATATATATATACGCAATCAAGAATCGATTGTACAATTCTTCATTTCTTGAGCCAAAATATCTCGGAAACTGTCGATTTTATAAAAAAATTATCAAGATACTATAAATGTTCGCTTGAATTTGTTTAACCTAAAAATATAATGAGAAATAAGGATTTCCGTTTAAAAAAATTAGTTTGATCTACATCTGACTTTAAACAGACGTCTCAAGATCAACTCAAAGTCACCACTGTATGTCCCTCTCTACACTGTACAACTTTTACTTGAAATGTTTTTTTGTAAAATTGTATATTTTCGAAATATTTGCCTGTTAAGATTAAAATAAATCACCCTGTATATATGAATGACTTTAATAAATGACTTTAATAAGTGTTACAATTGGAAATAATAAATGCATTAATAATTAAAGTATTGTTACTTCTACTACTTTGTCCAATTCTTCCTTCCTAATATCTGTCTTATCTCTTTCTGGTGTTGAGGAGAGTTAGAACAAATATTCGACTTTATAGTTTATTTAATTGCGTCCTTAATTATTAAGATAATTCGTTCAAACTTTGTATTAACTTCAGTAACTGCAATACGGTAACAAATCGGTTTCAATTTTTATTGTTACCAAATTTCGAAAACAAAAATTACACGGAAGACAAGATGTCAAAATTGTCCCAACTCTTCCTCATCTCCTCTACTATGAATATGTGATTTTTAATATTTTATATATTGAAATTAATTGAATTTCAATTGAATTAATTTAAATTAAATTGCGAATTGATAACTTCGAATATATTTTATTAAATTAAATTAAGCGGGGTCACACACACACGCGCATTCTTTAATATTTCGCGTGGCTGGTCTGGCAAATGCAATGGCGATCGGCAAAATATATCGTTGATAGGGCGACAACGCACCACGTGTATTCTCGGGAGATTCGGTATGACTCAATTCCTGACATGTTATTCTCAATTGCAATTAAGAGTGTCAACATTTGCGCGTGTTTGTTCTTCCTGGATGGACTTCCGTCGAACTTACGTTTTCACGGTCTGCCCGTGTTGATCTTTGTTCCGAAGACCTCGCGAAACAACGCGAGACGACGAGCGAAACTTCTCGCCGGCGGGATGCTCTACATCTCAATTTCTTGTTGCTGCAGAGCCAAGAGCAACACGCGCCCAGCTACGGCATTCGTCCTGCGTTTCATCCTCGGTTCTTGAATAAGGACAGCTCTCACGGCCTCGTTACGTTTCGCTGTATTGAAATTGTATTATCGGGGGAAATTTCACCGTTCGACCGTGCAAAGCGCATCCGATCCGAGTCAAACGTCATAAGGAAGTTTTGACACGCGCTTCGAACGCGTATATATCCATATCCGTAAATATATTCTAACTTTGCTCGAGGGAATATCCGAGGTGAAAAGAGCAATTTACCGCAATATCGAGTTTGACACACTGTGAGAAAATGACAACGAATGTCGGAAAAAAATGCGACATAACACACCGGAGGTGGGGGGATATGTCTTTATCTCTCACATGAGAAATCTGAAATTACTTTTAAAATAGGGGAATGGCGAATCAGATGACGACGGTTCGTCGATTTTTCCTTATTTTTATAGAAATGTAAAAACAATGATCAATTTTGTTCTGAGTAACTAAAGCCTTGCCTACCATTTGCATAAATTGAAAAATTTATAAATAAATTAAAATTTTGTTTAATTTAAATTTTTCGAGAACGTGTCAATTTCATCATCCTGTCTCTATATATAAGTGAGATGATGAAGGTTGAAAATAAATTTTGCATGCATAAAAATACATATAATTTTCACAAACTTTTTATGTTATTCTGTTATTACTATAATATTTGTGTACAACACAATAAAATGCAAATAAAATATAAATAGAAATATTATTTATAAACAAAAAAATATAATTTGTGACAATGTAACTTAAAGAAAATAAAATCTAGACAAAAATAAAAACAATTATTTATAATTGTACAATTTAAAATGAAATGTATGTTATTTGTTATTATATTGACGTTTTCCTTTACTCTCTCCCTCTCTCTCTCTCTCTTTTTCTATCTCTCCTTCCCTCTGTTCTCCTATCTTCTATTACTTAGACAATACGCTTTTGTTTCCGTTCCGCATTCCGTAAATCATTCTCAAGCCGCGTGCATGAGAACGTTTCTTTTTTTTTGTTGCGAAACAGATGCATCTGTCCGGACAGAGAATGTGAAACGTTCCCGTTATCCTCGGACGTTGCCCACTGTCGTGCGAAAACGAGGGAAAACGATTTTACGTCCGACACTTTCAATATCGGTCAAACAATAACGAGTCCATTTGAGCGGCCGATGCGCGCAGAATTCTTTTCACCCGGGCCTCCTCGTGCCGCACCGCGTTCCACCTGCCCGCGTGCCTACAGATGAGACGAATTCCGGGCTTTTCTCCCGAAAATACACCTCGTTTTTCCGCGCGTCGCACAGAGACGGCCGCGCGGCGACTACGCGGACTCGCGGGGGAGCGTTCGCGGAGAACAAAGCGAGCTTATGAATAAATCGAGTCGAGGAAAACGGCTGTCAAGCGCAGAATTATCAAGTCCTCCAGGCGGCATGCGACGGGGACGAGGGGGCATCGCGGAGACTGTACGACGTAATCAGGTAATAGAAGAGCGTGGCTCTTCGCGCATAAAGAGAGGAGCAATCGATTACGTGGTAAATCGCGATGATTCGAAAGCCCGTCCCGTTCGGCGTCCTTTATCTCCATCATTTTCTATCTCACGACCGTTCGCGTTACGCGCTAAATGAAGACGCTAAATGAAGGCGTCATGCCGACGTGCAGTATTCGAAGGAACTTGGATTTCGTTGAAACCCACTCGTTGAAATCACTCGCGAAATTTATATCCTGAGTAGCTTAAGACATTGTCGACCGATCGGGTACACAGCAACAAATTTTGTATTAAAAGCGGTAAAATTTCACATTACTTTAACATGGAGAATGTGTTAAAAAGTACACAAATACGAGGGTGAGTCGATAATTATGCAATTATTTTGTGTCATAAATTTGTGTACAATCCCTGTCCACGTTATTAGACGCATCTGAATTTTGTATAATTCACTGACTTCTGAAGACCAGTTTTACAATACGGCTCATCTATCG